AACTTTCTAATTTCTTAGTTTGTTGTGAATAAACCTCATTTTCAAGCCTCGATTGCTTGTTCGTCGTCCACAACAAGGCTTATGTGTCTATAACGCTACTGATGTGGTTACATGTTTTATCATTTTAACAATGCCTTTAATATATATGCTATAAGTGTTATATACACATGTCGTGGATTTCCACCATTATATAACCCTACCTTGAGGAACCAGTATACCATTAGCTTGCTTTTTACTACTGTAAATCAGGTATATTTCACGTGCGATTACCTGTACGAAAATAATACTGGATGGCGTTCATATTGATTCGGTTACTGATATCGGAGACTTGAAGATAGCTGGTCTCAAATAGCTCATCATTTGTGAATTTAAAGTCATTTCTAGATGAGCGTTCGCGAAATAATGAAGCTAGGTAGTCAGAAATAGGTCTGAACAGACATATTCGCGAAATAATTAACCTGGGTAGTCGGAAGTAGGTCTGAACAGACATATTCGCGAAATAATGAAGCCGGGTAATCAGAAATAGGTCCAAACAGACATATTCGCGAAATGATGTAGCCAGGTAGTCAGAAATAGGTCTGAACAGACATATTCGCGAAATAATGAAGCCAGGTAGTCAGAAATAGGTCTGAACAGACATATTGGCGAAATAAAGTACTTAAGAAATCTGAGTGATTTACAGTATATTGAGGGCGTAAGGGGACTCATGTTTACGGCCTTTGCATTTTTATTATTTAATCAGTCTTACATACAACAGAAATTAACAGCAAATTCAGTCTATGGAGCTTAAAGTAAATCTTCGAATGGTTGACTGTAAACAGGTATAGAGGGGTGATCCTTTCGTTATTCTAAGTGTAATACTACTGTTATTATACTGTTGTCAATGTAATATGAGCGTATTTGGTATCATGCCATCGTTTCTGGGTTATGAATATAATGTGTGCGTAAGTTGCCCCGCCATTCGTGGTTACCGTATAAGCCTGGCCGTTGCGAGGAAGTAAATCCCCCAATAATATCATGAGGTATGTATTCAGCATCATTTATCTTCTTGTTATTTTATGTGACTTATACCCGATAATTTAGGTGTTCTTTGTTTGTTTTTTTGTGCTGCGACTATTACGGCGGTCTCGTCAGTAATTTTCTGTACAACAAACTGTTAGATATAAGTAGAAAATGCCCCAGTAATCCAATGGCATTTGGCACTTCGGGATTCATATATGAAAGTTTTTTCGTAAAAAGCATTTTCAGAGGTAACAACTTGTATAACGTGTAACTCTACAATACTGCATCTGGTCAATTTTCCTCTAAATGTATACATGCTTTTTGTGTAATAACAATGAATTTAAATTAAAAGTTTTCTGCTGAATTTGACTCGGGATACTGGGTACACAGCCAAATATTACTCTATCAGACGAGAATGAGTCAGTCTGTTTAATCTACATCCACCCAGATATACACGTCTGTGTACTTTCCGGAGTAGCTGTGAGTACATGGCTTTAATGGCATTGACCTCCTAACCTTGAACCCTGACCCCATCCGTCAGCAGGCGAGTTCATACAATGTAGATTGCACTGTTACGTGGCCAATCAATTAATGTGGTGGACTTTTACTAAACCATTAAATGCTGAATCAGTAATAATTTCCTTAAGCTTTTTATTGATATTTTCAGCGATATGTTTAAATGTCATAACCATTTTTCCTTTTTTATAAATTTCAGACACAAACATATTTAACATATGTCAATACCAGCCACGTCATATCAAGACGTTCAAGTTTTGAATACCTCTAGCATGTGTCGGCAAACTGCCTTAACATCTTATCTTATCAGGTTGCGTTTGTTGTTAGATTTATTTATTATGTCAACACTAGTTCATACATCACATCGAAAGATTAAATTATCAAGGCCATTCTGTATTTGCTGATTCCACATTGTGCACAAGTCTTGACTTGGGTCCTCTCTCATACATACGCCAATCACAAACCAAAAATTAGACATGTTTTTTTTTTTTTTTTTTTTTTGGGGGGGGGGGGGGGGGTAATTTGTTTGAATGCGATTTTACAAAGTTGTAACTAACCATGCAATGTTAAATCACTTTAAGCTATGAATCTTCAAAGTTCGGTAAATCATTATTAACGGGTAGACTGCTACCCTACAAAGAAACTACCTGGCAACTACCCAGCAACGAAGAGCTTTGTATGACTGGTAATGTCAGATATAAATGCACATTCGTTTCAAAACTGATAAATCAAACAAGGAAAATACTGGATATTTTATTTATCAGTTTTCTTTTTTGAGTGATGCAAATGCCATAATTTTCAGAGTTGGACGGTGATTTTGTATGATGTAAAGCTGTGACAATTATATCAGAATTGTAAAACGTATCAACTGTAAGATGTTGTCAATAATTCAATGTTAATTAAAGCAAAATCCTTGTAGTCACTGGACGTGTCTTTGAACACTATCCAAATCGTTATGTATAATCTATCGTAAAAAGGTATTGACAAAACGCCACAGCATTATGGTATATCATTGTACGTTCATGTTTCATTAGCAACATTAAATTTGGTAGGTTATATCCTCATGACACGGAGACATGATTTTCTGGACGGTATTTAAATTCTATTTATTGTGAAAGACTAAATACATTTTTATTCAAAATCTTGTTGGGAAATTAATTTCAGTTTTTAACCTGTATTTTTCAATCTTGGAGGTCTCTTTTATAATGATATGGAATTATTTTTCCTGATCAGTATTTATTAAATACTTTCTGAGAGTCATTGCCCTCAGTTAGTGTTTACTCACTTGTTGATTATCGGGGAATCCTTCAGGTTCAGGGGGAGGGGGAAGTGGGAGGGATTGGAAGTCGGTGTACTTTATCACTACAATAGAAATCATGTTAATGTTTCATATATGGTGCATGTATGTCGACAATGATATCTTTATTTGATGACGTTTCACGTGCGTATATTGTTCCGCCAAGGGTACTTGATGGCTGTTATCATCAACAAGCGTGTGGTATGTTGTGGTTTTATACATATCGTCTGAACATGTCGAGGACAAGACCAATGCTGGTCTAGACGCGGGATGCCCGCGATATTTTGTACAATGACGTAAACCACTAACCTTTGATGATTTGCTTCTAGATGCCTTTACTTACCGTTCAAGGACACGTGCACCCGACGGAGACCGTTTTATGTGGAACATTGATACATGACAAGCACATTTTGCCATTGCATTGAGGACACAAGAACGCTGATTACATGATCGTAATGGCCGATAGAACTAGGAAACCCTTACTAATGTCCCAAATATTGTGACATTAATTTCAGCATTTTCTCCTGTGCTGCGTTCGTCTATTTTCAACACTAAGGCCTCTAATATCGGTGACGAAAATCTTGAAAGAAGCAACAGCAGCAGGATCTAGTTCGGTTATAGTTTAGCTGTCAAATGCAGCTCAATAATTCACCCCCAACGAAGTCGTGGAGGAGAGGAGGGAAGAGTGGGGGGATACAAATGTAAGACATATCGACACATTATTACAAATGTAAGACATATCGACACATCATATCATTACAAATGTAATACATATCGACACATCATATCATTACAAATGTAAGACATATCGACACATTATTACAAATGTAAGACATATCGACACATTATTACAAATGTAAAACATATCGACACATTATTACAAATGTAAGACATATCGACACATTATTACAAATGTAAGACATATCGACACATTATTACAAATGTAAGACATATCGACACATTATTACAAATGTAAGACATATCGACACATCATATCATTACAAATATAATACATATCGACACATCATATCATTACAAATGTAAGACATATCGACACATTATTACAAATGTAAGACATATCGACACATTATTACAAATGTAAGACATATCGACACATTATTACAAATGTAAGAAATATCGACACATTATTACAAATGTAAGACATATCGACACATTATTACAAATGTAAGACATATCGACACATTATTACAAATGTAAGACATATCGACACATTATTACAAATGTAAGACATATCGACACATTATTACAAATGTAAGACATATCGACACATTATTACAAATGTAAGACATATCGACATATCATTACAAATGTAAGACATATCGAAACATCATATCATTACAAATGTAAGACATATCGACACATTATTACAAATGTAAGACATATCGACACATCATATCATTACAAATGTAAGACATATCGACACATCATATCATTACAAATGTAAGACATATCGACACATTATTACAAATGTAAGACATATCGACACATTATTACAAATGTAAGACATATCGACACATTATTACAAATGTAAGACATATCGACACATTATTACAAATGTAAGACATATCGACATATCATTACAAATGTAAGACATATCGACACATCATATCATTACAAATGTAAGACATATCGACACATCATTACAAATGTAAGACATATCGACATATTATTACAACTGTAAGACATATCGACACATCATATCATTACAAATGTAAGACATATCGACACATCATTACAAATGTAAGACATATCGACATATTATTACAACTGTAAAATATATCGACACATTATGACAAAATGTAAGACACATGATAAAAAAACAAATCGACACATTAGTCCGCTGTTGCGTTTGGGATAGTTAAGAGAGATTAGCGGTATTGAGGAGCAGTGCACTATGACATAAATAGTAAAATGGTTAATGTTATCAATGACTGAATGCCACCAAGGGTCTGGCCGGGGACCAACATGTTCACGTTACACGTGGGACTCGGGTACTCTAATCGGACTTCTTCCTTTTTTACGTTTTGTCTATAAACAGGGTTTTTTTGATTGGCCGATTCAGTCACGTGTATTACATCTTTTTTGATAGACCTATGATACACGTTTTTGTCTACATGCTTGACAAATGAGTTTGATAAGAAGGCGCATTGCTGTTTAACTGAATCTATTTTATTACTATCCACAAAGGTAAACAGACGGACTAGAAATGGCGGCTCTGAACGGCAAATGGAAGCTAACAAACGTCGACAACTTTGCTGCTTACCTCGATGCTATAGGTTTGTATACAAAGTCTTCATATCAGAATGTTTGTAAGAGAGAATCAGCTTGGCTGCACCGACTCCTTGCTTTAGGATAGACCGATTACGTTAGGGAACTAAACTCGGTCATGGCTGCTTAAATTTGCCATGCATTTATCTGTATCATTTAAAAACCGATAAATTAAATGTTATGTTGAGTCACACAGTACCAAGCGGCGTTCCAAATACCTGATGATGCATTCAAATATTTTTGACCTTAGAATATGTATAACTTTTATTCTTCTTCTAACAACACAACGATTTTTAATCCTGTAGTTCTGAATGCAATGCAAGTTTCTTTCGTCTCGAACTGCTTTGAATTGAGACTGAAGTTACTGACGTTTTAAGAGAATTTATTTTATAACGGCTAACATATAAGCATGTTGCATTCATTGGATGATCTTGAATGTTAAAGGATTATTCTGATATACACCTGTCAGAAATATCAGTCACCTGACAGTATTTGCAATACTAAGCTCACAAACTGAGGCCAATGATTTGTGCACGATCTATAAATCATTCATTGATTATTTCATAGCAGCAGTTGCTTTTAGTCATCTGTTACCTTTTTCACTACAATATTTACTTTTGCGAATTTCGCGATAAAAGATTGCAAATGTTGATCGCCACGAATGGCCAAGAATTCTCAACCAAGAGTAATTTACCTTTAGTAGTGCAATATCATTTTATTGTATACTTCGAATGTTAATCAGTGTAGAGCTGTTGTGAGGTAGAAATCGTGGAAATTATCTACCGCGAAAAATGGTAGTCGCAAAAGTATGTAATCGCATATGTTAGTCGTCATGACAGTTAGCAATCATGAAAATAAATGGTCGCAAAAGTTAGTAAACTTGAAAAAATGTTTGTTTCAGTTCTATCATAGATTATTTACAAAGAAAGTTAAGAAATTTCGAAATAAAAGATTTTATTGATATGAATATATCCATTAGGTGTATCGGGCGAGGATAAAGCGAAAGGGCTACATGGCCTGTCTGCTGACAAAGACATCTTCCAAGAAATTACCATCGATGGCAACTCAATAACTATCAATACCATTACACCCATCGGAAGTGCCGAGACCAAAGCGACTGTCGGCCAAGAGGCAGATCAAAAATCTATGGATGGACGCGATCTCAAGGTAAAATCCATTTGCTCTTTTATTCCTAATTAACTATGTGTACTTTTCTGACTTAATTTGTATAATGCAATCATTCTTTTGTCAAAACAAAAACTGAATGGTATCCTCTTAAACTTAACAAGTCACCTCTAACTCGTTTAATCTGTAATGGAGTACTAAAGTCGTATGAGATTAAACCTGTTGTCAGTAGAATTATAACATGATAAAAGCAATTGACAGAATATGTTTCCTCACGTCTACGCGATGATCATGCCTACGTTTAACATGTTTATACCTGAAATAAGACAAAAACGATTCTCCATTTTGCGAATACGATTGCCTTTGAATTTTAAAACACAATTTTTTAGTATTACATATTCAGAGAAGTAGCATATCTAAACATTCTACATCATTAAATAGAACTATTTTATCATTAACACACAACGATTGCGAGTCTCTTTTAAATGTGGCCTGTCTGTAAATGACTTATGGCTGGTTGTCATTAAATAAACCTAACCAGGGAGAATACCTGTAGGTCATGAATTGAGAGTAAGAGATGTAAGGTAGGATTCCTCACAGCGATGTCAGTCTTGCAGGTTCTTCCTATAAATGCAAAGATAATCAAACCAAAAGGTTACACTTAATGGTACGTTTGGGACATCTTTGATATTTTATTGAACAACATGTTTCAGAGAGCTTGTAGTATATCAGTATGTACCAACTTTGAATTTGTAGATTGTCATCATTTCGTGACTCTGCTTTTAATTGCTGGTTCGAAGAGCAGAGACACGGCTGAGGTACATAGCATGTATATACTATTTACATCACAGTAGCGATATATATCTGAGGTATATGATCCCAAGCTGAATATAGAGTAAAATGATTTTAACAGAATATTAGATTTATCTAACAGGATGGACGTTATTTATGGTTCAGATTACAAGTGTGTACACGGATGACAAAACAGTGTATATCATCTGCTTCTATATATCTTTTATGTTTGTTTAATCATCCATTGCCTGACGTGCTTACCTCAACATTACGACATTAATGTTATATTTATTGTACATACTAATATTGATTTATTGGTGATATTATAGTACTTACCCTATATTTTAAAGGGAAGAAAATATATGATCCCCCGAATAACTTTACAGCACCATATTTTATACCTTTTCCCTTTTTCATTTGGCTTTTCAATAATCTTGACCTGAGATTTTGTCAATATTCAATTCGCCATTTGAAGCTGACTGTTAAGAGATCGTAAATTCACCAGCTACTGTATCGTCCACTGTGATAATGTACACAATGTATAGCAGTGGCATAAGAAGGAATTATAAGAAAGATGTCGGTGATCATTGCATGTCGCAGCTTGTATGTTCCAATCGACAGTGTTATAGAAAATAGTATGGGGAAATCTTAGGTTCGACATACTGATCTCATTGAGGAATAGCCTGCTTCTTTTTGCTAAATAAAAGTGGACGTGTACCACGCTCGATATTTAGTCTGTTAGTTCCATTGTTATATACCCTGTTCTCATTTGAATACCTGACATTACTTCCTCGGATTGATTTACACGGCGGGTGTCGTCGATGAAACAGAAGACGCTTACTCTTCCTGAACCCCCGGTCTTATAATGCTTGTAGTTTTTCGGAGTCTCTGTGTTAATTTACTTTCCTTTCATATTTTGCCCGAGTTTTATTGTGTTTGGATTATGATTATATGTACACATGGTATTTTCCTGTTGTTTTTAATCCAACATCCTGACATCTTTGTTAACTTTCTGCTCGTATCAGTATATACGTGAACTGTATGTCCAAGTTATGAATATACGTAGTATGAGTATACCTAGGTCATTGCAATGTTTTTTGTGTACCTTCAGCACTGACTTGACTATATCGGGAATCCAGATTTCCGTAGCCCTGTATCAGTATTATCTATCAGGGTTGATGTCATGACTGTGTTCCTTTCACACATTGCATGATATTACTATGAAATTGTGCAAGAAATGGCTTTTTTGTTTTTCCGTGATAGTAAAGTACAGTGTATGTACAAATTTCACGTAATTGTGGACTTTCAAAGCGTCCACACAAAGCCCATCTGTTGGCTCTGATGTAAAGCTAAATGTCTATACGTCCTCTGTTACAGAGACATATAGATTTAGTCTATCGGATATCCGCTGCGGTAGATGACAAAATTACATATGAGTGTAGACGTGTGGCTTAGACACCAGACACGTCAATACTCGTACACTCAGACATAGGATGGTGTAATACTTACGGGGTTTATTTGTATAACCTTCCTCGATAAAACAAGATTAATACTTCAGATACTGTAGACAGCCTTGTGGTATCTTTGGAGTCATTTAAGGATAATCATAAAGCCTTTAGTGGGTGTGTCGGTCAGTTTAATGAGGATATTACTTTACGACATATATATATGTAATTTTGATACTGCCAGTTACAACTTTTACATATAACTGTTCCATTTTGGGAGTGTTTTCATTGGGTTCATATATAGACCAAAACGTACTCGGTCGAAATGCGGTATATGTGGGTAACATACGCCATGATTATTGTATTTCTCGTACACCAATATAGAATGCTTCATGATGCTATCAAATAACTTGCTTCTGACGTGTTGATAATAGAATTGAAAACCTTTACCATAAGAGGAAAAATTCTATCAACTGTACCCCAGTTTATACAATGTGTGTATATGATCGCGGAAAGTTTACTTAGATTTTGAGGTGAGTCATATCACACCTGTTTGCATACAGCTGCAATCTATAGGCGTTAACATACCAAATAATCTACGACAGGGGAACATTACTCAAATAAATTAAAATGAACGACATAGTTTTTTGTCAGAAAAAACTTCAAACTCCCACAATATTGCAATAAGCGATAAGAACAAAACACATATCCTGTATAAGACTATTGAAAAAAATGTAGGAGAGTAAGACCAAGTGTTACGGAAAGACAAGTGTCTTCTGCTTCATCGAGGACACTAATGACCATAACAACAGAACATGCTCACGAAACGAACACACCAATATTTCAAATAATTATGCAGTCTTATTTGTATCAATAAGAAAAAAAGGTCATAAGTTGTGATATCTGAAAATAAAAATAAACAATAAGTATTGTTTATATTTAAATCAGCCACAGGAAAGCGTGTATTATGACCTTAAAGTGCTCCCTTCATCCGTGAACACTCAAATATACCCTTCCTAGGTCACAAACTATGGTGATATTACAGAGCGGTATCTCGTAACAGTACAAACTATCCTTTTTTATGCAATGGTGTTACTTCAATAAAACTAAACTGCATGTTACATCTACTTATCCTTGTCAGGTGACATACACTATTGACGGAGACAAATTGGTGGAGAGTCAGTCTGGAGCCTACACGTCCAACAACGTCCGGTCAGTGTCGGGATCAGAAATGACCATGGTACGTTGAAAGAGTAAACCATAACAGGCTTGTCCTACTCATGGTTCTGTGATGAAGCGTTATCACATCGTTGTTCTAACAATACAACTTTACTTACAGCAAAATGTACACAATTGTAGTTATGATAATGCCCTTTTTGTTCATAACACTGCTATCAATTACATCCATTCTTATGTGTAGTTTCACTTTCGGTTTTCCACAGTCGCCTCTTCTGGCTTTAATATCTAGGTCATTAACATCACTGATAAGCCCTAGAAGGACCAGCTGAATGAAACCGTTTAATTCATTATTTGGTTATATCTACCTAACTCTAAATATGTAATGAAAGGTGTTCTCGCCATGGTTGTCTTTTGTACAATTTAAAAACGATAATCAACAATCGTGTCAGAGTTTAATAAACCAAGATATTACGAGAGAGACACACGTGAACTGCACCTTTCAATATGAAATTATAATTGGATACAGAAGAGTCAAATAATGAACGTCATGACACAGCTGTTTTGTCCTTGTAGAACTCATCAATGATGGTAAGAGTCTAGATATTGAAAGCTCAGAAGCAACATTGGAAAATTAAAATTGAACGAAAAACATATCAAACTTTAGAGGGAAAGTTGCACAAGCCACATACAAATGTACATGTAAGGAAACAAATTTGACAGTTTCTAAATGTCTGATTGATTAAGAACAAAAAACCCGCAGTCTCGGAAAAAATATACAAACTATACATGTAAACAGCACATTTCAATACAAAATTTAAAATTAGATTCAAATAGTGAATATTTTTTCATCATACAGCTGTTACGCCCTTTTCCATATATCTGGTTAACATAAATAGTACAAGTACATGTGTATGACTAGTGAAAACTTATGTTACATGGAACATAATCATAGATAGTGCTGAATATATGTAAACATTTAAAACTTAATGAATTTAGTTCTAATTTGTATTTCAGGAAATGACCTCTGGGGGCGTGACCACAACCCGGAAGTACAACAAACAGTGACACTGCATTGTAAAAACGAAACAGTTTGACGCATCGGCATCAATCACTTAATGTGTTGTTTTGTGTTTAAAATGGGTTTTATTTTCCTTGTCATTATTGATTGTTTTTTTCAAGCTGAAAAAAGTTTGATAATGTAGCATGGCATTTAATCTTTGGTAACGCTTATATTCAAAAGCTGAATGGAAGATAACGTAAATTGCTTATTAAAAGATGTTGATGTTTCATAAAGTGTAATTAAACAAGTCAGTCTTCATATGGAAAATCAGCATAATAATGTAGAAATATTCACGTGAAATATTGACATGAGTTGATTACATTCGTGTGTTGTGTGTGCGTGCTCGCTTGCTTAGATTTATGATAGGACTATGGCGAAATGTGTTTGAAACGTCGTTCATGAGAAATGAAATGAATAGTCAAACTAGACATTTAACTGGATCTTAAAACATGGTAACATACATCTGTGTATCAAAGATACATGAAATATTGCAATTTTGAAAACAATTAAGAAAGTCGACATGTATGAAGCTCAGATGTTACCTATCAAATACTAATAAAAAGTTCAACTTTTATCTTTTTTGTTATCACTGAAGATTTTACACCTAATGTTGTGAATATTAGCAGTATTCACTTGTAATACTGTGTAACTACAAAATGATAAGAGAAAAACAAACTTTAAAAGAAAATGATACTCTGAAGGTAAAGACGAGTGCAATATACAAATGAATCACTCACAGACAATTAAAAAAAGAAAACAAATACTGAATTTGATGGCTTTGAATCCCCTGGGAGTACAGAATATCTCCTTATATAAATCTGGATGAAGGGATGTCTTATCAATATCAATGTGTCATAGCATTTCAGTTCAGTGGCGTTATTCTGACCATTAAATTGGTAATTTTTAGATTGACCCCAACATTTTAATAAGACGTTAAAATTCAACCTGCAGAGTTTAAGGAATTTTCCCTTTTACCTGTTAGGCCAGACAATACCAGGGAAGGTATTGTTATGCTGATCCAACCAATATGTTAGTGATCTGATAAAAATTCCACTACAAGACAAACAATATACTCAACAAAAAAAGAAATGTTAACATGTTTCCTTGGCAATACCTGTAAATGAGTGAAAACAACATGACGTTTGTGCAATATTAGAAAATGGTAATGTTTTACATTACAAAATCCAAGGGCGTTACCAAAATCATTCAAGCATGAAAGTCTGTATCAGCGAAAGAGCTGCACGAGGTTTTCTGCGACTAACTTGTATCTTCGCTTGAATTTCATAAAAATTCAAACTGACAACTGTTCCTTAGATCCTTAGGACTTAGAAATCACCGAATCTTGCTATCTATCAACTTTATCATTATGCCCCGGCTGTCACAAGTACAGAGAAAAGGGGCTGTAGGCATGATCCAGGCTGGGGAGTCTCGCCGTCGAGTTGCACGGCATTTTGGTTGCAGTGTTAAGACAATTTGCCAGTTGGTAAGTCGTGTAAACCAAACTGGGTGGGGACTCGAACCAGGCTTGTTGTGTTGAATGGCAATTTAACCAGCATTCGATATCGGGACGAAATTTTAAGACCAGTGGTTCTGCCATTCTTAAGACGCCATGGCGTTGGCGCCATTTTTCAACAAGATAACGCACCAGCGCACACCAGTCGTGTCAGCAGAACTTTCTTGCAGCAGAATAACGTACAGGTGTTATATTGGCCATCTAAATCACCTGATTGGTCACCGATTGAGCATGTCTGGGACGTTCTTGGGCGACGCGTGAGAGAACTTTGATCGCTGAATGGAACAACATCTCTCCTCGAATTATCCGCCGGTTTACGAGTTCCATGCGACGACGCTGCAATGCTGTTTACTTCGCAAACGGTGGTCATACCTACCGTTACTAATGGTGTTACCTTTGAAATTGACCCCAACGTCCATTACAGTCGAATAAAATCGGCTGAACGCAAAGTTTTATAACGAACCATGACTGCAGTTTTATCAGAATTGATCAATTACTTTATTCGTACATGATTGGTAAGTATTGATGAAGGGGTTAATTAATTAATCACAGAATAAAGTAGTGTTACCTTTCTTTTTTTGTTTAGTATATTAGTATCAGTAGTAGGTGGGCATGATCTCCTCATACCGTGAGACGGGTTGACAAACTAACCTAGTTGTTCAAAGGCTAACTAGATAAATAACGGCTCAGCGAAATGTTCAAAGATTAATTGGAAACAATCTTTTCCTATTTCACATCGATAGGATTGCTTAGTGTTAATTTTGCATTTTACATTGTTGTGTGTTTAGTGGCATTGAGTAAGATTTTCACCCAATGACTAGTTGCCTCTAACAAACCATTGAACAACCGGACTCCTCTGTCTATATGTGACTACAATAATCTATTACTGAACGGAGGCGCAAATATTTAGTGAATATGTTATAGAACGACATCTTCCTCACATAAAGCAATAAATCACACATCTATCTATCCCAACAACTTTAAATGTGCTGAATTGCAATTTGTTCCACTTCGCTGGAACTGTTCATGATTTTACACCGTTCAAAATTCGCCTCTTTAGCCGACTCCATTATGTATTAAACACTTTGGCGCAATACCAACCATTTGTGCCATAGGTTGCTTAAGTTTTGGAGTTTAGACACGTATCACCGTCTCTGTTCCGGGAACGTTGCGGTCATATAAAAGTCGTAGCCACCAGCGCCGATCCGCCATTCTTTGTATCATTGTTTGCTTTAATTTGACTTTCATTTAAGTAGTAATTACTTTGATTACATATCATGAACTCCGGTGTCATCACGATTCCATCTGATCTCTGGATAACGTCTGTAGCTCCAGACATTTATCAGTGAACGCTTTTCATCAGACAACAACCAGATAAGATTTCCAGTTTAGATTTTCTGTATGAAAATGAACCATGAAAATGAACCTGAGATCACTTTGAATTGACTGCGGTAGAATTAAACACAAAGAATTGCTAAGGCCTATCAATATTTCTATTTTAGATAAAATCAACGACGACAAGACATCGACAGAGGTTTAAGTATCAATGTGCTCAAGTTGTACCATACTAATATACAAGGCATGCTGCATTAGTGTACAGATGTGGATATTTCTAGGTCGGATCTAATGTTGATTCATGGCCTTTTTACAAACTGTAATAAGGTATTCTATCATATCAGTTTGGCATATCATTACAAATACATCGAACTGTCCTGAAATACAGCGAATGGTCTCTAGTGTTGTGTTGTGTTTGGGTAAGAATGCATCAAATATCCAAACATCTCTATATCAGTTTATAAACTTCGATGAACAAATAGACTAATAACACCAAAAGTCATATGTACAATAATACAACACGTTATCTATTACACGTCACGTCACGGATATAATAATACAACACGTTATCTATTACACATCACGTCACGGATATAATAATACAACACGTTATCTATTACACGTCACGGATACAATAATACAACACGTTATCTATTACACGTCACGGATACAATAATACAACACGTTATCTATTACACGACACGTCACGGATATAATAATACAACACGTTATCTATTACACGTCACGGATATAATAATACAACACGTTATCTATTACATGACACGTCACGGATATAATAATACAACACGTTATCTATTACACATCACGTCACGGATATAATAATACAACACGTTATCTATTACACGTCACGGATACAATAATACAACACGTTATCTATTACACGTCACGGATACAATAATACAACACGTTATCTATTACACGTGACGTCACGGATATAATGATACAACACGTTATCTATTACAGGACACGTCACGGATACAATAATACAACACGTTATCTATTACACGTCACGGATATAACAATACAATACGTTATCAATTACAGGACACGTCACGGATCAATAATACAACACGTTATCTATTACACGTCACGGATACAATAATACAACATGTTATCTATTACACGACACGTCACGGATATAATAATACAACACGTTATCTATTACACGACACGTCACGGATATAATAATACAACACGTTATCTATTACACGTCACGGATATAATAATACAACACGTTATCTATTACACGACACGTCACGGATATAATAATGCAACACGTTATCTATTACACGACACGTCACGGATATAATAATACAACACGTTATCTATTACACGACACGTCACGGATATAATAATACAACACGTTATCTATTACACGTCACGGATATAATAATACAACATGTTATCTATTACACGACACGTCACGGATATAATAATGCAACACGTTATCTATTACACGACACGTCACGGATATAATAATACAACACGTTATCAATTACATGACACGTCACGGATATAATAATACAACACGTTTTCTATTACACGTCACGGATACAATAATACAACACGTTATCTATTACACGACACGTCACGGATATAATAATACAACACGTTATCTATTACACGACACGTCACGGATATAATAATACAACACGTTATCTATTACACGTCACGGATATAATAATACAACACGTTATCTATTACACGACACGTCACGGATATAATAATGCAACACGTTATCTATTACACGACACGTCACGGATATAATAATACAACACGTTATCTATTACACGACACGGATATAATAATACAACACGTTATCTATTACACGACACGTCACGGATATAATAATACAACACGTTATCTATTACACGACACGTCACGGATATAATAATACAACACGTTATCTATTACACGACACGTCATGGATATAATAATACAACACGTTATCTATTACACGTCACGGATACAATAATACAACACGTTATCTATTACACGACACGTCACGGATATAATAATACAACACGTTATCTATTACACGACACGTCACGGATATAATAATACAACACGTTATCTTTTACACGACACGTCACGGATGTAATAATACAACACGTTATCTATTACACGACACGTCATGGATATAATAATACAACACGTTATCTATTACACGTCACGGATATAATAATACAACACGTTATCTATTACACGACACGTCACGGATATAATAATACAACACGTTATCTATTACACGTCACGGATATAATAATACAACACGTTATCTAATACACGACACGTCACGGATATAATAATACAACACGTTTTCTATTACACGACACGTCACGGATACAATAATAAAACACGTTATCTATTACACGACACGGATATAATAATACAACACGTTATCTATTACACGACACGTCACGGATATAATAATACAACACGTTATCTATTACACGACACACCACGGATATAATAATACAACACGTTATCTATTACACGACACATCACGGATACAATAATACAACACGTTATCTATTACACGACACGGATATAATAATACAACACGTTATATTCTACACGTCACGTCACGGATATAATAATACAACACGTTATCTATTACACGACACGTCATGGATATAATAATACAACACGTTATCTATTACACAACACGTCACGGATATAATAATACAACACGTTATCTATTACACGTCACCGATATGATAATACAACACGTTATCTATTACACGACACGGATACAATAATACAACACGTTATCTAATACACGACACATCACGGATATAATAATACAACACGTTATCTATTACACGACACGTCACGGATACAATAACACAACACGTTATCTATTACACGTCACGGATACAACAATACAATATTTTATCTATTACACGACACTGATATAATGATACAACACGTTATCTATTACACGACACGTAACGGATATGATAATACAACACGTTATCTATTACACGTCACGGATATAATAATACAACACGTTATCTATTACACGCCACGGATATAATTATACAACACGTTATCTATTACACGACACGGATACAATAATACAACACGTTATCTATTACACGTGACGTCACGGATATAATAATACAACACGTTATCTATTACACGTGACGTCACGGATATAATAATACAACACGTTATCTATTACACGTGACGTCACGGATATAATGATACAACACGTTATCTATTACACGACACGTCACGGATATAATAATACAACACGTTTTCTATTACACGACACGGATACAATAATACAACACGTTATCTATTACACGTGACGTCACGGATATAATAATACAACACGTTATCTATTACACGTGACGTCACGGATATAATAATACAACACGTTATCTATTACACGTGACGTCACGGATATAATGATACAACAAAACAAAGTGTTTCCTTTTTGGTTTTTTTTCTATCAATGACCTTTTCACCTTGCATATTGGTAATTTTCTAGAAGCAGCGTATTTTGTTGTTTTGTACTTTAACATTCCATTGACTGAAAAGGATGCCACTTTCATATGTATACGTGTCTGTAACAACATATACTTGTATGGCACGACCTTGTATAGTAAAACTATGGAAAGGTTAATAAGTGCATTAATGCTGACAGCAACTGACATTAATAAACAGCACTATAATGGTAGCTCATTACCCCTATGTATTGTCATTAAGTGTGAACTTTCCTCTGACACGTTATCAATTCCTCATATTCCACGACAAAATCACACGCTGCATAACTGTACTTGTGGAGTTCACTACATCACATACGAAAGGTCACCATCACATCTGTCATATCTACATATGTACTTTACTTACTTTTGTATATCTTTATTTATGTTTACTACTAAAAATGTGAAACAACACCTTACATATATGTTTATATTGTATCATCAATACAGAATTGTCAAACACAATCTACCATCTTTGTTCCTGTTTACACCTAAATCAAGAATTGTCAAACAGAATCTACCATCTTTGTTTCTGTTTACACCTAAATCAAGAATTGTCAAACACAATCTACCATCTTTGTTCCTGTTTACACCTAAATCAAGAATTGTCAAACAGAATCTACCATCTTTGTTCCTGTTTACACCTAAATCAAGAATTGTCAAACAGAATCTACCATCTTTGTTCCTGTTTACACCTAAATCAAGAATTGTCAAACAGAATCTACCATCTTTGTTTCTGTTTACACCTAATTCAAGAATTGTCAAACACAATCTACCATCTTTGTTCCTGTTTACACCTAAATCAAGAATTGTCAAACAGAATCTACTATCTTTGTTTTACATTTTATCTTTTATCATATAAACTGGAATACCTACATGTCATTAAGCCTTTGGAGCGCCATCTACCATTGACTGACGTTGTGGGAACACCATTGGCTGACGTAGTTTCTCAATTGTCTGAAGGCAGTTAACATTGGCTGCATGACAAAGTAAGTGAATCTCCTTTCAAATCGGTACTTCCTATGTATACATCCACTAGGATTGAAAATAAACAAACGACTCATCTACATTAACCGTTTATCTCGACTTTTTCTGCAACGTCGCCTTACGATAAACGTGTTGATTTCAATACATTTTATGGTGTTTATATAGTACACTGTATATCAGCTTAAACGATATTTAGCGGTCTCATTCCAATATCTCGATTCCCGTACAAAATGCCAATGTTAACTAATAAAGCTAACAACACAGGATTTTTTAGAAATGTTGTAAGTACCTCATACTGAAATATTCTATTTTCCGATATGAAATATATAAGATATAAAATTCATGGACGTGTTAGATGCTCGTTCATTTACTCTGTGGTTAGCATTCTCAGTCACTCCAAGTAACATTACAGTTGAATTGACCAAAGTGTACCTGCCGATGTCGTTGGTGAAGCAGAAGACGCTTACCATTCTGGAACACTTATACCTGGTATCATTCTCCGTCTACTTTTTCATTAGTATCAGGGATAACTTTTGTACTTATTTTGCCATGAAATATAAAGTGTGTATCTGTGCAAATCCTTTTTCCTGTGCTTTGCCCCAGTTTCATCAGATTCCAATACGAATTAAGATATTGCATGGTGTTTGTTTTTGACAGTATCTTTGAAATCTTCCTTAGCTGTTGTTCCGCACGTAATGAAAATCCGAAATATTCAATTTCATTTCCTTACATCTTTGATTGCATTCTCCTTTGTTTTTACTGATTTGTTATTGATTAGCTAAATTCATCTGACAAGTATTGTACTGCTAACATGGCGAAGTGGAGATCTGTAGATACATAATCAGAGAGTTGAATGGCATGGAAAATCAGCTGCTTACAAATCACTCGTGCTATTGAACAGATTCGTTTGATATAAATTAGTATGTTTTACAAGTATCCGTTGCGGCCTCCCCTCAGGTAAAACGTGACGCTACAGTTAATTATATCACGGCTGTTGACGATCTGTTCTAATCCAGGCCTGAGCTACCTTGAGCTACATCATAGTCCGATCACTCAACAGAATAAAGAGACATAGTCGAGGTCTCAAAACAGAAATAGGATTTTTAAAAAATAAATATCGGTTCTCACTTTCCCCACGTTTACTTGTGATGTACGAAACGCATGTGCCCATAATTGGATTAAAACGCCATTTCATTTCACTTTAATAAACTGCCGAATTGAGATAATTTGAATGTATAGTAGCTGTTAGCTGGTTGTTACTCATTTTGAAGCTGACAGTCTTTGGTAGAGATACAATGTAGATGATGAGAGACCGTGTGACAGGGATGGACATTTTAGTATTTTAGTAAACATATATCATCATACAGCAATATCTATATCCATTTTCTTCTCCAGTTTCCAAAATACGTGTCGTACAGGGGGTCAATCCCATACAAGTGCAAAGTACATGTAGGTGTATACATAATACAAAGTACAACTGGAAGTGAGAGATAGTAAGAGAAAACACACCGGGAGGAGGCGCGTTATCTGTCGGGTACATTCGGTAATTTCCGCCAATCACCATTATACGGTGTATGATCGTCGGAGCCTTGAAGTCTTACTCACTTTCGTGAAGTTGCCTATCGTTTGTGGATCGTTGTTTTACATCAGTCAATATGGCCCTTGTAGGAAAATGGGAATTTGTATCTGCAGAAAACTTGGACCAGTATATGGAAGCTACAGGTAAGAATATTGAATCTATAGATATATACTTCAGTACATATTATGCAAAAAATACAAGAATTTTGTTTGTGTGCGGAACATGCATGTTAAACTTTAATGTATTAAGGAAATTAACACTATTGCGCTACATACAATATATTTAGGATTTAAAATGTATCTTTAGGTTATATCGATTCACATCAATTGTTGTATTACACGAGCATGAAGAGAAGGGTGTGCGTTGTAAGATAGTAAAGATAATTACAATAAGATATACATAATCGATAGAATTAAATTCTCAAATGCCAAGATATAAAACGGAAAAGCACGTGCCAAAAATAAACCGATCCTTATGTAGGTCATGTCAATTCAATGTCAAGGAGCATCGTAATACATGTAATACAATGACGATGGACGAGGTCACTCACCAAATGGGAGGCGTGACTATGGTCAGTTCCGCTGTACGTAAGGTGATAGTGTTACGTGCGCCCCGGGGTGTGCGGTGTAAGGTCAGTAAGGCGAATCAATCATTTATTTGTCAACTTGACCACAGTGTATTGTGATGTCATAGAATTCATTCCAAACGAGAAAGGCTCGACCAGGAGCGGTGAATAATGGAGATGAGACAGGATGTTGGCGATAATTGGTGTTCATATCAAAGTTTACCAGTATAACCATAATATGATAAGTTTCCAACAAGTAGGACATTTAAACTATATGTAACTTTTATGATCATTTATAAAGAGCGCCTTATCAAAGTTATAATTGTAAACTGCCTGCCGTCATCACCAATGTTGCAATTTACAGTTACGACTAAGGCGGTGATAAAATCAAGCTGTCCAGTACGAGGTCAAGTCTGACCAGTGTCCAGCGTATTCAAAAGGAGGTTAATGTAGCATGTCAGTGTGTACATAGTGAAATCTTGGTCATCATTTATGATGATAAATAGACGGCGATGACCACAGCTAACTTAACATCACTCCAGATGATACACCTGTGTTTTAATCACCTGCAGCATTGTAGGCATATTGATCCAGAAAGTCCTGTTCATGAACATAGTGTTGTATTATAGGATGGTTATTATACAATGTTCATGAACATAGTGTTGTGTTAAAGGATGGTTATTATACAATGTTCATGAACATAGTGTTGTATTAAAGGATGGTTATTATACAATGTTCATGAACATAGTGTTGTATTAAAGGATGGTTATTATACAATGTTCATGAACATAGTGTTGTATTAAAGGATGGTTATTATACAATGTTCATGAACATAGTGTTGTATTATAGGATGGTTATTATACAATGTTCATGAATATAGTGTTGTATTAAAGGATGGTTATTATACAATGTTCATGAACATAGTGTTGTATTAAAGGATGGTTATTATACAATGTTCATGAACATAGTGTTGTATTAAAGGATGGTTATTATACAATGTTCATGAACATAGTGTTGTATTAAAGGATGGTTATTATACAATGTTCATGAACATAGTGTTGTATTAAAGGATGGTTATTATACAATGTTCATGAACATAGTGTTGTATTAAAGGATGGTTATTATACAATGTTCATGAACATAGTGTTGTATTATAGGATGGTTATTATATAATGTTCATGAACATAGTGTTGTATTAAAGGATGGTTATTATACAATGTTCATGAACATAGTGTTGTATTAAAGGATGGTTATTATACAATGTTCATGAACATAGTGTTATATTAAAGTATGGTTATTGTACAATGTTCATGAACATAGTGTTGTATTAAAGGATGGTTATCATACAATGTTCCATAAAAGTATAAGAATGCAGAATTTGTTTAATTTAATTTTGATCTTGAAGATAGGATTTTCTTCTCATGATTAATGGGATACAGGTAATGTACAGAGGTCTGTCTGATAACACTGTTTGCACAAAGCCGATTAGGGCAAAGTACCGTCCTGGGTCGTGTCGTTGCACCCACCACGTCATGCAACGTGTCAAATTCAGAAAGCGTACAGGTGTTTACTACGTAACTAGGACAATTAATGGACGATGATCCTGAGAGCCGTGCACTTAATTACATATTATAGGTAGTTCAACATTACTTTAAGCTAGCCATACCGAAAACAAAGATGACGGTCAAGGTTTGTTAACACAATTGTCTTGGAATACATAGCGTATGCTTTTACCGGACATTTGTGAATGCAACACACCTGTCTTTGGTGTGACACCAAACTTTCTGTGTCACAATAATTGTTTCGAAACTTTAGAACTTGGCTGTTTTTGTGCCAGGAGTTTGTAACATGATGACCCTCTAATATAAAGTTTGAGTAATTGTAAGAATGGAAATATATTCTAAACTATTCCAGTTTGACAATCCTTTTTGCTATGAGCCCCGATAGAACCTGTCTTGAATACCATACTTTATATATGTTAGATATAGGAAAAGGTAAGCTCATCATCATTTGACCAAGAATAGCCCACATGTCCTTTTATTCGGGAACAATAGACTTCGGCAAACGAATCAATTTATATTTAAACCCCTTACATCTATTACACGTGTTACACCTAACGGAACACTGACTGGCTCAAAGTGTCTATTCTCTCATCATTACGTGATGCTATGTGATATACATGGTTGTGAAATCCGCCAATAATAAGTCATGGAACGAAAATACCACCGATATAGATTTTATAACAGTCGTTTTACAGCTTTGAAAGGAATAGTTTTACTTCAGGCTGGTATGAAAGAAAAACCGCTTTTGTAAACTGAATTAATTATCCTAGCTTGTAACCATAATTAGACAGGATTCAGAAAAAACCCACAAAAATGAAAAAAAAAATGATAATTTAATGACGAATCATTTCATAACAGCTTGTGTCATATGACGTGACGTCATTGACAGCTAATTCGCACCATTTTCAGACATTCAAAACTCATTCATGAGTGGCCCGTCAAATTTCAAACGTATATGTATAAGATAACACATTTCTCCCCTGATAAATCCGCTATTTATTTGTTGTGTGCATTGTAAAATATTTTATTATTTGCGGTGCTGTCGTCCGTTCAGTTTTTTGTTTACATTATTTGACTGACAGCAATCCACACAACAGTGAATGTTAACAGACACGCCATTCATACTAAAAAGAAGTTCCAACAGACCTGCCGCAGGGTGGCGTGTTGCTATTGACTTCTCAAATCATGATCGAGTAGGCGTAGCTTCATGTATTTTTTTATCCTGAAATGAAAAGGAAAAATCGATTCATCAGAAAGCTGCATTTTGCGTACAAACAACGGAAAGTTAATTAAACAGAAATGTTGGTGGAAAACTATAAACTGACATATGTGTCATATGAGAATTTTGAAAATCGTCACATTTTTTGGGGCGAGATGGATTCAAATTTGTATAAATGGTAGGTTTATCCCTGTTCTTACGAAGAAAATTGTACAAATGTTGTCTGAATAATCTTTTGGTTGAGGTACTAAATTTTCAATTTTTGTGTGAATGGAGAGTTTGACCATCCTCGGTCCAGAGGTGCGGGGCCCAATTAGGGATATTGAGGTAAATTCTTTAAAATCCTTCTTCTGTAGAAATGACATCATCTTTAGAGGGTCCATTTTTGTTTAAATGCAGGGACTTGGCTCCCAAGGGTGTAAGGGAGAGGGAAGGGGATATGTCAATTGGGGGTATTTATAATGCTTCAAACACCTTATTGTCTTCGTTAGGAATTATTTTTTTCGAATTTGATCAGTAGCATCCTTAGGTAAAGTGGATTAAGTATTATGGGTCTAATATCCTTGTCGCCAGAGAGGCGAGGCAAAGTAGATGCAATGTAGCAACATTATTAAAAACTTCTTTTTCTAGAGGATGACAGGGAATTTGGCGTGAGGTATCCCTGGATACGGGGGAATCAGTTGTCCACAGCCGTTTGGTATGACCCGCGGGGCTTGACAGGCAGGGTCAAATAGGACAGATAAAGTCAATTCTTTCCTTTTTATTCTCAAACAATGACTTCATATTCATCAAATCAAGTTAGAAGCATTCATGGGGGAAAGGGAACCAAGTCGGATTTTGACAACCCTAGTTTAGGACCAGATATGGTAGCAAATTCTTCAAAAATGACAAGGTTTTGCCTTAAATGTCAGAAATATCATTGGATTAACTAATTTTGTATAACAGACTAGACTCTGATTGTGTCCAAATTTTGTTTTAAGCATCCTAGGGTAAAGAGGAATGTATAAACTGTAGGTACTGTCCCTCGCAGGGCCCACATAGATCATTTTTGCATTTTTTAAAAAATAGTTTTTTCTTCTGATGTAATGAAATTTGTCCAAATTTGGCGTGAAATCTCCTTTGATAAAAAGGACCGAATTTACTTATGAGTAAAGCAAGGATCTGAGGGGAGAACCAGGATCCAATATGGGAAACAGAAGTGTTAGAAAGAGTTAAATTTAATTCTGCTTGTATAAAGGTATTTCGTTAAATGTTAATTTGAAATCTTTGTAAGCGAACGCTAAAATATCCAGGTGTCAGACATAGGCCTTCAGGTGATTGTTTTTGTTTAAACGAGGCCTAACATTCTCATAACAGCCAGGATCATATGAAGACAGGTATCTAGATGGACACCAAAATTTGGATATAAAAACACAGAAAAGTTGAAAGAGTAAGAAGGCAAAGAAAGGAAAATAGAGAAATATCAAGATATCGAGTATTGTAATGGCGACAGCAGATCTGTCTTGTTCTCTGAAATGGTTACTTTTAAATCATATTTCATTGTTCATACACAAAAGGATTGGACACGGGTTATATCAATTCATTTCGTCCTCTCCTAAATAAATACATACAGGAATATTTTACACTGGAATCACGTGAAAACAACAAAATATGTAAATTAGGAACGAATAGTAAAAAATAAACATATAGGTAATAGGAAAGAGTGTGCTGATGATAAAGAGGTGAGACAGAGACAGGAAAAGAGACGATGTAGAACATGTAATGTCTTTGACGAAGAACACGAGGTGACAGCAGACT